ATGAAGATCAGAACGAGAATAAATAATTTTGATTAAACAGTGTTACACTAATTTGAAGCTCAAGATGCACTGCAGGTCATGCAATAGTCAAGTTTCGATAAATTATGCCTTTGAGAAAAATAAAATTCAAGTGAAAAACCTTTTGCTCCTGAAATGTTAACTATTGTAGGAGAAGAGACAAAAATAAACCTATTCAAAGGTTTATTGCTCTTTGTTATTCAATACAGAAAATATTCAAAATAGGTCACTTCATCTTGGCTTAGGACAAATTATGAAAACGAGATCTACGACAATTATTGTATGAAGTTCATAGAATCTCTCAAAACTTTCACTTTCGAATAGTCTTTAAAATATGGCATCATATTTTTTCTCTCTCAAAATTTTCTTCTTAGAGTAAAAATAATATTATCAAACAAAATTGTGCAAAGAAGATGGAAAAAAAAAACAGATGAAATTTTCAAATGAATATAACTCAGATTTTACCAACTGCAGTTTTAGCTTCTGTTGGCTGATATAAATCAAGACAGAGACTAGGGTATTAACGACTTCTTGAAATGGTAATGTAGTTGTAGAAGAGTGAATATGAAATAAGTTTTCATTCTTTTTTTGTAATATTTTGTATTAATGCAAAAACATAAAATAAAACATTTTTTTCTTCATTACCAGATTATTTCGTATATTTACTTGGACATTTATATATCAATATATAATATATATTCCATGAAGACGATCTACAATATAGAATATAATATTCAAATTTTCTTTTCGTCAAACTACTCATGTTGAATTTTTTTTTTGCAATCAATAGTTTATGAATCAACTGAAACTATATTTTTGTCAATTCATTGATTATGTAATGACGAAATTGGCATTATCAACAAACCAAACTATAATTTCTTTTTCATAAATTCACTTCACATCTTTTCTGTTATTCTATATGAAAATAATGAAAAATCTATCTCAACGTATACCGAAGTTTCTAATGAAAATCTACAATAAAATGTTTTCTTACACTTTGTTTATACGAACAATATGTATGTTTACACTTTCATTTCGTCTAACAAGTGTAAGTAATTCAACAAGCTTTTCATAATCTAAAAAAAACCAAAAACATTATATTCATATTTTTTTTTAATGAAGATCATTAATTGATACTCAGTAAACTAATTAGCGATACGTACATTTATCAAATTTTGTCATCTGATTTGTTTATAAGAAAATAAACAACAGAGATAGGATTGGTTCGTGTTTTCTTTAGAATCGAACAGATTCTATTGCTGATAAACACTAATTTGCGTAACAAACATATTCTTTATTTAAACACAACACACAATTCTTCAAGATCTAGTATCAAAATATAGCAAAGTGTACATAGTAAACTCTGTATTTTTTAGAAATATGTGTAAAAAACATTTATTTAAAATGTAGTTCACGTTCTGTACATTTTACTCATGCTGGATACAATAATCAATCAATCAATACTCTAGATTTCAAGAATACGATTGGCTTTCAGCAATTCAACCAATAGGGTAATTACTAAAATATATATGTGTGTGTATAAAAATATTTCAGAATATGCTTTCGGTATGTTTCGCATGCAAATCCTCTATGATAATCGTGCGCGTACCAATGTGCTGTGCTGTGCTGTGCTGCAGACATGATGAAGGACGCCTCCTATCGACATCAAGGATAGTGTGTGTGTGTCATATTGATATGAGTGGAGGCTGATAATAAAAATAATGGTGTCAAAAAAAAAAACTGACTTGTATTCGTTAATAGATTGACCAATAAATTGAACTTAAAAGAATCCAAAGAAAAAGAAGAACCACTGATCGATATTTTTTTATTGAAGAAAATAAACAATATTCATTATTATAAAATAGAAGTTTGTCCGATGAATGAACAATCATCGTCATCAATACAATTGAATGATGAAGAAATTGATATTCTAGAAAATGATTATGACAGGTGCGAATTTATTTTAATTGTCAAGTTTGTTCTTTTGTTTGTTTGTTTATTTGTTGTTGTTTCATAAGTATTTTAAATTAATAATATGCTTATTGATTTAATTAAAAGCTTAGTATACACATTAAAATTGAATCATAAAATGAATTTCTTCGAGTTCGCGAACATTTATTATAAATTACGAATAAAAAAGTTCTTTCTATTTACCAATTGTTTATGAAACCCTAGTGTATAAAATTTTTGTTAAAAAAAAAAAAGAAAACCAGTTCGTTAGAATTAAAATTTTATCTTCTTCGTAAATGTTGATTAAAGAGTTTCTTCAATGAAAACTAATTAAGTATAAGAAAATACCTAAAGAAAAACAAAATTGTCGTTTGTACCAAACAAATTAAACTTTTTCTTGTCATTGATAATGTTTCTAGATGATATTGAAAAAACAATTGTAATTCTAATATTATTGTAGACCATTCGATTTTTCTACAAATTCATGGGTTATAATAATTGATCATATACGAGAATCAAAGTTAATAAACATTTTTTCGAAAAAAGTAGTCACTCCGAAAGATAATATTTTATCAAAAAGAGCAACAAATTTCTCAGCTATTGTTCCGATATCTTTCTATAATTTGAATTGAAATAGTTTTAATTAAAATACAAAAATAGGCATACCAAAAAAAAACCTGTAAAAACATCATGACTACTTTTCGTCCTCTTTAGTGACGTCCAATGAACTAACACGTTTTCTCCAAGGATTCTTTTTTATTCTTAGGTTATCTTGTTAATACATAAACGAATTCTAGACGCTAACAAAAGTAAAATTCAATTCTTTAGTCGTATCCACTGTCATTAATACTTTAAGTGAAATCTGTTCGTTTTCAGTAGAGTTCTCCTGCAGAACGAGATTCGCGGCTGGTCTGCAGAACTCTAGTTTTCACAATATTATTTGTTCATGATCATAATAAATTTTGTCTTGCCTTGATTGATGATCACTTCTTTTCACAAAAGGAATGATCTGTTTATAATTTAGTGCGCTTCATATCCATACATATTTTGCATTTCTTGTTACTATGAATATGGTTGACATTTGATCAATGATATGAAGACCTATATATGAATATGAGTGGAATAGTATATATTTGATATAAAAGAGTGTAAAATCAACAAAAAAAATAATTTGATTTAATTGAAGAAAAATAGAAGCTTTCTAATTCTTTTTTTGTTTTGGAAAAATGCATCTTTTCGCGTCCGTTCATTCTTTCTAGTCTTTTATTGCATTGATGACATTATCATAGATAATCCTTACGAGACGAGTCTCAAAACTCATGAGTTGTTTTCGAGTCGAGGGTACCACATTTTTTACGATATTTTTTTAAATCGAATGCTTTGTTCAGAAAGACAAGAAAAACTCATTTTCAAATTTTGACTCAAAACTTTTGCATAGAACTAGGCCTTATCGAGAGTAGTTTATTGTGAGAGTTCAGTGCTTTTAATTTGCTTCTATCCTGAAATATGAGCATAAAGTATGTCGGTTTATACAATTGACGTAAACGACATGTTATTACCATAGCTGCCTCTTAGTATAGGAGCAACGATAAGGTCTGAAGCAGTCACAACAACACTATTCTCATTAAGGCTTGTCTCTATGCAAATTTTCAAGTCGATATTCGAAAATTAGTTTTCCTGATGTTTCTAAGGAGAGATCAGAGCATTGACTCGATAAATATCATAAAAATACAATATTTCAATAATGATAAATTAAGAGGCTTAGCTCTTTCAAGATATTTATAGCTGCTTAAAGTCAATATGATGCAAATAGGTCCAACTGAAAAAGCGATTAATCAGTTGAAGAACTTCTCTCGCTAATTTAATTTGGTCTTACGAAAAAAACATATATAGAAACCAGTACTTATCAGCATTAATTAATATTGATTCTTTTCTAGTACCGCTTCTTATCTTATCTTTTTCTTCAATATTTGATATGAAATCGAACGATTCAGTCCCTTGAAAAGATATCTATATCACTACTTTTCACTTTAATTCTTATCTTATCTATTAATCAGATCTATTTTGATGACTTTCAATCTGACCGATTATTCGCATGAATTTTCATCATCCAATCTATTTTTCTTGATACTTATATAAAAACTTGTCTTTTTTTCTATTTGTAAACAAATTACAAATTCTCTATAAAAAATAGATCTCAATAATTGATTGTCAATATTCGAAAAAATGAACATCTGTTTTTAAAGCTCTTCACTTATTCAAAAACAAAGTCATACTAATTCGATAGGGAATGCTTCACTCAACTCACCTTTTAATACTTAAAAACAGTTTGATACAGAAGCTAGTTATCGTAAAATATTAGTTAGATCAATGTACATATCAATATTGTACACTAGGACAACATGTGGTAAATATATGTACATCAAGTATGTGCTTATATACGACTGTTGATAGTGATGAGTGAGTGATAGCTATATTCTTACGCTCGTCTTTCTTCTTTTATCCTCTTCTTCTTGTTGTTGGCTGTAAGTTGTAGTATTACTCGTTGTTTGTCGGCGCCGATTTTTGGACACACTATATGTATGTAAGATGCACACGAGACGTGCGACATAAATGTAGTAATAATAACAGTGAAATCAAAAGCCTAGTTCTTCCTCTGCTTCTGCTTCTTCGTCTTCTTCTTCTTCCGCATACATACACATCTTATGTAAAATAAATTGCTGTCGGCCTGACAAAATAGCATAGAAAAGAATAGAGCAAAAACGACGAAGGAGGAGATCGTTGGATAAAAAAAAAAAAGAAAAAATAATGAACGGAACTTATTGCTATCTATCTTATAGTCAAATAAGCAAGAAAAGAAAGAAAAAGCACAACTGATGAAAAGTAATGATGAATTGAGTGTAAGAACGAACAATCATATAATCAAATGACAAATCTTCTTAAAGAACAGATAAAAAATGCTTCCTCCCCTCAACTAGATTGTTATATTATAAAGAATATAAGAGTTTCAATATAAAACAACATTATTGATCATGTTTAATGACAATATGTATGTGTTAGGTTATTGTAATTTTTGATATAACTCATTTTGTTTTGTATCTTATAATTTATTTTTTAGTCTTCTATATGGACTCGTTCATTTTGACAAACCTGAAGATCTACCACGACGTCAATTCTTGCTTATGGTAAAAAACACAAAAACAAAAGATAGAATAATTTTGAATTCAATATTACTTTTTTAGGCTATACAATTCTATGAAGAGAAAATACGCAATGAAAAAGAATCATTACAAATAGCTCAATATTATATTAATATAGGTCATTGGCATTTATTATTAGAAGACTTTTCTAAAGGTAATGATAATAATTAATTGAACATAAAAGTAAAAGCTATGTTGAATTATTCTCTATTTCGAAATGATTAAGCTTTTCGAATACTATTAAAATAATTTTCAGAGTTCCACATCTTACCGTTCAGAAGGTTGCTAGAAGTCATCGAGCACAATATGGTTTTTATGCGTACAAATGTTTTTTCAATACATTTCAATCTATAGAGCTCGGACTACTCTCATTTTAAATAGAAACTCTTACTACTTCTGATAATGGAAAGGGGATTTTTGTTTCATTTTCGGGAACCCTAAAAATTTTAGAAAAAGTTTTCTAAAAAAAAAACTCATGCTTGCTTTGATATTGAGAGTCGAATATAAAGTTCATTTCGCTCATCCGAAAGAGAATGTCATATATCCATTAAATAAGAAAGAAAAACTCAGGTCACTAGAACGACCACTATTGAAAAGAACTTTGTTCGAAATTCGATAATTTATACAAAAAAACTATATCAAGAAATATGCACGGTTATTTCTTTTTTGTATATTTATCTAAGGAAATTTCTGACATGAGTATCAAATATGGTTATATTATGTACTAATGGAGTCTTATCGAATGGCTTTCAAGCTATACATTAGCCAATGATAAGAATCTGTAACTATTTACAATAGTGCATCTAATTTTTCTACGGATATTGACATTGACCTTTTCACTGGTGTGCTCTAGAAACTCATCATGATTTCTGAAGAAACGTTTCAAAATTGGAAGTCATTCTTGTGAATTCAACTGTGCTTTTTTCGAAAAGAAAATGTCTGAGATGTAAATGATCTCTGATAGCATTTCTTATTATGTCATGGTTAGAAATAATTTCTTTAATAATTATATTCTGGAATTTTTCTCTTGTATTTTAATCCCTTGATTAAGAAGAAACAACGGATTAGCGAAACAATAATTTAATAAAATGATCGTTCATTTTTCAGCTTGTACAAAATTTGAAAATATTTAAGTAATAATCGAAATTTTGTGTTCTCTTCGGGTATGACTTCAATATTTTTGTCGAACTTTGAATTTAAGACTTATGAATCGATCGTTTTGAGGCCTATAAATTGACTTTGGACGAGCTTCAGCGTGCCGAAATTTAAGCGAAAATTATTTCAACTGTAGCAAATGAAAAAGTTTATCTCAATAAAATGGAATATTAATGATAAGCTACTTCTAAGAAAGAAAGTCCTCAAATTTTCTAATCGTTTTGAGTCTAAACTATGAGCATTATAGAGACTCAAATGAGCTATGAATATCATGAAAAGAGTTTGTGTCTTTAGTTTATTGCTTCGAAAATACTGCACTTTTACGATACTTTTAAAACAAATGCCGTTCTTCAAACAAAAGTTGATTTTCAAATTTTGACTTGAAGCTTTGTATAGAGATAGAGCATAGTCTTTTTGTGTATGTTTCAGGATAGAAGCTAATCAAAAGACTTGAAATTTTCACAATCAACTACTGTTGTGAAGGCTTAGATCTACGTGAAGTTTCAAGTTGAAATAATAATAATATCAGTTTTTTCTATTATTTCGGTTTTCATTTTAAAATAAATATCGTCAAAATCCAATATCTCCGCAGTAATAGGGTAAGAGCATGAACTTCTTTCAGGGTACTCATATTTCATTTGAACCTAAATAATGCATATAGTCTAGACTCAAAAGCGATTAGACAATTGGAGAACTTCCTTTGTAGGTCATTTGTCAATAGTGAGTATTATTATAGTATGATGCATCGTGTTAATTTAAGCTATTTCTAAAATTCATGATGTAACTTTCTAGAGAACAATCTCGTCTTTAATTCTATGCAGATAAATATCGGTAATATAACGTATGCATTCATAACTTTTAAATCAGAAGTTCCAAAGAAATATTGAATTGATATACAGAAAAAATACAAAATCTTGATTTAAACTCAATGTTTTCAAATATTTGCAGGTCACTTTAAGAGAAACGGACATTTCGTTATCTGCAGCAATCTAAATTTTATATAAAAAACATACCATAGAAGAATTATTATAATCGAGTAACTTACCGGTATGTCTCCATTATTAGAAATACAAAGTTTTATTGTTTTCTTTTTAATCTCTTTCAAAATATGGATCAGACCATTATAAACTTGAATGAACATTTTAACTAGATATATCATTTCTTTNTCGATTTATATATGTTGTGAATAATTCTGAAAAAAAAATTTTTTTTTTGAAAAAATCCCTGTACTCCCCCTCAGGGATGGTCTGGTCAAAAATCACAATTTTTTCGATAACTCAGCCATTTCTTGACGGATCCTGCTCATCTTCGAACTCGACCGAGACATTGTTAAGACTGAACTGTATAGAAAATTTCATCGCGATCGGACTCTCCTTTCAAAAGTTATCGTGTTAACGGCCGGCCGGACGGCCGGACACACTGACCGATTTTAGTAGTGTACTCACTTTTTGAGTACACAAAAACATACCATAGAAGAATTATTATAATCGAGTAACTTACCGGTATGTCTCCATTATTAGAAATACAAAGTTTTATTGTTTTCTTTTTAATCTCTTTCAAAATATGGATCAGACCATTATAAACTTGAATGAACATTTTAACTAGATATATCATTTCTTTTTTTTTCTCCTCTTGAACACATTGAAAGAATTATAAAAATAAATCTTGCTTTCAATTGATTTATTCTAGCTCTTTCTGCATATCAAGCGGCATATGCATTAGACACAAAACTTAACCAAGTAAGCCATAATTAGTTTTTTTTTTAAATAAATCTTCATATTTTTATTTTATTTTAGAATCCAGAATTTCTATTTGGTCTTGGTATTGTTTATCATCATTATGGTGTTGATAATCAGTAAGATATATTTTTTTTTCGATTTGCATAAGTTCTTTTATTGTTTTTTGTTCTTATCATAGTGCAATACGTGCTTATCAACAAGTACTTTATGTTGATAGTCAATTTTTACGTCGAAGTGATGTTCATCTTCGTTTAGGTTTAATTTATAAAAAATTAGGTGATTATACATCAAGTTTAAAATATTTTCAACGTGCATTAGGTGATTCAACAAGTACATGTTCATTAACACGTTCCGAATTATCATATTTAATTGGTTTTGTTTATGAACAACAAGGACATTTAACTGAAGCTGAGAATCTTTATGAAAAATTATTACAACAACCAGATACAATAGCAACAAAATTAGAAGGAAAAATTTTACGACAACTTGGTTGGCTTTATTTTTATGCACCATTAACAAATAATTCCAATATAGATAATTTAAATGTTGAAAGAGAAAATCAAATAAAAAAAGCTATAAATACCTTAGAACAAGCATGTAAATGTGATCCAACATGTGGAATAACATATTATTATTTAGGACGATGTTATGCAGCATTAAGAAAACATACAGAAGCTTTTTATACATATAGAAATTGTGTTGATAAATTAGATCAAAATGCTGATGTTTGGTGTTCTATTGGGTAAAGAAAACAAAAAAGCAAAAAAGAACTTTCTTTTTTTTTAATTTCCTTTTTGACTTTTAGAGTTCTTTATCAACATCAAAATCAAACAATGGATGCATTACAAGCATTTGTTTGTGCTATACAAATTGATAATAAACATGCAATAGCATGGATGGATTTAGGAATTTTATATGAAACAAGTGGACAAGCACAAGATGCATTGTTTTGTTATAAAAAAGCAATTATTGATAAAGATGGTAAAAGAAAATAAATTATTTAAAGATTAGAATATATTCATGCAAGAAAAATAAAAATAGAAAGATTAGAGAATAATCATTAAAAGTATTCATTAAAGAATACTGAAACTGTTCACTCGGTGAGCTACTTATTTGATAGTTGTAGAATTTGATTACCATAGCTATTTGTCATAGTCTTATCTGCGAACTTGACACGATTAATTTCAATAGTAATTATTATTCTACATATGATGATTGAGACGCAACTTTTGTCGATAAGTGACAATGATTGTGTAGTTGTTGGATGATGAATTGTTTCTTATACGTGACGAAAATACAATGAAATCTTCCATACATCAAAGAACATTGTTTTAGTCGTGTAAATGCCACTCTCTTTAATTTTTTTTTAGGTTTTTAATCGGTGAGATTTTATGTCTCGCTTATAGATGACTAACTTAGATGTAAGATGGTATAGTGACCGGTAATTCAGATGTGTTTATTACTATTGCAAGTAGTAGCTGGAATCTGTAGATGTCAAGGACATCCCTGGTAGATCATGACGTAACAGAGATAATGACATTGGCTACGAATAGCATTCAAGCTTTTGTATAAAAATGTTCAAATCGAGACTTCCTAAGTCTCTATGTAATGATGATTGATTTTGTAGAACTTCTTTTGATATTACATTGTTTCATCATGTTACTCTGCTAACATCTACAAGCGATATAAATGATGAAATTTTTCATGATCTATGCATTGAAATAAAGACAAACAAACCAAAAAAGAAGTATCTATATTCTCTTTAATTAATAATCAACATTTTTGAAGTCTTGCTTGCATACTTCTTTTAAAAAAAGGTTAGACAAAGACAAAAGTAATAGTCTTAATCCGTATCATCAACCATAAATTATGCTATAGAAAGATATATGAGAGAGTCTATCATATTGACTTGATGTAATTAACTAGATCTGATTTTTAAAATTAATTTTATTTTTGTAGAATCATGGAATCCAGAATTAATAAATCGTATTAATCAATTACAATCTTGTCTTGCTCAAATACCTGAAGGTGCTATTGGAAAACAGTAAGTAACAAAAGAAATTTTCACATATCTTATTTTTTTTATTCCTTAAAATAGACCTCGTGGTCCATTACCTAAAGTTGAAGAAGCTTTTACACTTCCAATTCCTAGCGAATTAACTGCAAAGCAACAACAAATGGCAACTACATCATCAGCTACTACTTCTCTTCCAATACCATTATCAACAAATGTATCAAATCAACAATGTTCATCATCATCTGAAACTCTTCCTATTCCTCCATCATCTGTTTTAACTTGTAAATCTTTTTTTTTTGCCTATCTTCTCTTAATAAAACATTTATATTTTTTTTTTAGCAAATATAAAACCATCTATTGATGTCGTACGCATTGATAAACGTTTATTAACAACTGATCAATCAATAAGACCAAAACGTATTAAATTAGAACCAACAGTATCATTTACAAGTAATACAAGTTCAAATGATTTACAAAAAATAATTAAACATTCATCATCACCATTACCACCATTACCTGTTTCATATTTACCTGATGGTCATATACCAAAATTACCTCAAATACCAAAAATTGCTTCTCTTGATCTTAATCCAGCTACACCAAGTGTTATTTTAGAAACACGACGTGAAGCAACATCAGCACAATTACAACAATATTGTTTATCACAACCTATATGTATTGTGCGTGGTTTAGCAAATGTACTTAAACTTGATTTAGGTTTATTTTCAACAAAAACACTTGTTGAAAGTCAACCTGATCATCAAATTGAAGTACGTACACAACGACAGCAAGCGATAGATGAAAATTTCGATTTTACATCAATGACAATACCTTTAAAAAATGTTTGGAAACATCAATCAACACGTTCATATACAACTATAGCGAAATATGCTCAATATCAAGCTTATTCATATCATGATATGGTTAAAGACGAATTAAATGAACCAATTTTACCATCAATTAATACAAATAGTGGTTTAATAGCAAATACAAATATAATTATGACTAATGGAACTGCAAAAAAAACTACTAACAAAACATCGAGTAAATATAGTCTCGTATAAATTGTCTCATGGTTAAAGATAAATATTAGTATGAAAAGAAACACATCAGTTTTTGCATCTCATGAGGAAAATCCTCCAAATGATAAATCAATTTTACGTCGAGACTTTATGTATTATGTAGGTCTCAAATGAGATATGAACATTCCTGAAAAGAGTTGATGTCCTTAGCTTATTGCTACGGAGATATTTCACACGTACAGCACCTTTTTAATTAAATACCGTGCTCGAAGAAAAACAGATTTTCGAACATTTATTTGAAACTTTGCATAGTGGCAAATCTTAGCAAAAGTAATTTATTTTGAAAGTTTTACGTCTTTTGATTAGTTCCTATTCTGAATTATGAATATCAAATCTGTCAGTTTATATGTGGGATGTAAAAGACATGCTATACAGTAGTTCTATTTTAGGATAGGAACAACAACAAGACGTGAAATATTCACAGAAAACTATTCCTTGCCTCTATGTAAACTATCAAGTCGAAATTCGAAAATCAGTCTTTTTGAAGCATGACATTCATTTAAAAAACATCGTAAAAGTGCAATATATTCACGCAGGAATAAGTTAACGATACATGGTCTAGACTTAAAAATGATTTAGTTCTATATTCATAAATGATCCAATATATTACTAAATATATTTTAAAAAGCACAATTAATCATAACTAAAATATGAAGTTAAACAATAATTGTTTGTTTTTCTTTTTTTTTTTATTCTAATAAATCCTTTATTTTGTTTCCTAGCTAACAATTCTTCAATATCATCAATTCGTATAATAAAATCTGGTACAAATGTTGATTTATCTGATGAACGAAAATGGGCAGCACAATTATCTGAATTAACAAAATTACCATTATTTATGCGTGTTGTATCAGCAGGAAATCTTTTATCCCACATTGGTTATACAATTTCAGGTATGAATAGTGTACAGTTATACATGAAAGTGCCTGGCTCAAGAACACCAGGTCATCAAGAAAATAATAATTTTTGTGCGATTAATATTAATATTGGTCCTGGGGATTGTGAATGGTTTGCTGTTGCCAATGAATATTGGGGTGTTATACATACATTATGTGAAAAAAATGGTGTTGATTTTTTAACTGGATCATGGTGGCCTATATTGGATGATTTATATGATGCACAAATACCTGTTTATCGTTTCATACAAAAACCTGGAGATCTTGTTTTCGTGAATATAGGGTAAGATCAATGAAATAAGAGAAAATAGTTTTTCTTTTTTTCGATAGCTCACAAAATATTTTAATATGCGAGGGGAATGAAATACATGAGGAAATGTTTTACAACCGAAGAGACAAATTACTGATTTATTATTTTCTTCGAAAAATTCTGTGTAATAAGTAGTTTGGTCCTAAACATTTTAATGCTAACTTTTGATACTCAAGAGAGAAGTTCTCAAATAGATAAATTGCTTTTGAGTCAGAACAATGTGCATCAGATAGATCTTAATGAGTGAGAAATACAGCGAATAGGAGTTCGTATTATTGGCTTATTGCTGCTGGGATACTGCATGTTTTACGGTGTTTTTAGCACAATACCGTCGTCTTCCTCTGAACCATCAGAGAAAACTGATTTTCGAATTTCGACTTGAAACTTTGCTCAAAGATAGGCGTTCAACAGAATTGTTTATTGTGGAAGCTTCAGATCTTATTGTCGGACTTACATCATTCATATATATATATATATTGATAGCTTCGATGTTCTTGTTTCAAGATAGGAACAAATCAAAAGACCTCGAATTTTCACAATAAACAATTTTGTTCAAGGTTTGTTTCATTACAAAATTCGAAAATAACTTTTCCATGATTTTCCTTAGGGAGTCCACGGTATTGTACTAAAAATTACGGTGTCTTAGCAGCTGTAAGCTAACAGCACGAACTCTTTCCATTGTATTCATAACTCATTAAAGTCTACATGATGCACATTGTCCTGTTTCCAAAGCGATTTATTATTTGCAGAACTTCCTTCGTGAGTCGAGAATGAATTTTAATATATTAAAATTCTCTGTTAATGTCATGAATCTATTCTCTTTTTTCAATTCTTATTAAAATATCAAAAGCTAATATATATTGTAAAAGAAAATGTGTTACTTATTGTGTAAACGATTATTAAATCAGCAATTAGAGTCTTTTACTACATGCACTTTCTTAATAATATCTATAGCGAACTTAGAACAACTCTTTTAACTTGACTTTTAATAGAACAGAACATTTTTCTTAAAAAAAAATCTCAATTAAATGAATTTATTTTTGACATATCATTTAGTACGTGATTGAAAACTTTGTAGACAAGATGTTTGTTCACTTTTAACCTTCTAGGAAACGTTTCTAATGAGTTAAGATGGTCTTTTCGAATATGATCTTAGAAATTTTGTTTCACCTTTTGTTTGAGACAAGTGAAATAGTCTCTGAAAAGTTCAAGAAAATAGTTTCAACGGAATTTGTCAGTCAATATTTCCAATGAATACGTTTGTGCAAGAGTAATGAAAGACTTTTTCAAAGACCTGAAAAGTTATTTTTAATTGTGAGCTAACAGGTTTTTTTGTTTTTCCCTATAAGTCCCTTTTTGAACAAAATAGATATTATCGGAGTAATTCATTTTTATATAGCGGACATACTTCTCTACGACATGTCATATTGAACTAAGCTGTAGCTTTTACTCAAGTGAAACTACAAGCATTTTTTGAAGAGTCTCTTTTAACGTAAAACGGTTGACAGTTTTTCAAAAATGAATATTTAGGAAAAAAATGAAAATCGAGGTGTCTTCTCGAAAGACAAAATGTATTTAGTAGAGTACCTTCGAATCTACAAGCTGATATATAAATAAAGATTTCAAGTTTTAGTTACAAATCACAACATTGAAAATTCATCAATTTTTCGTCAAAATTAATTTTTTGATCTTTTGAAAGATTATTTCACTATTCTCAAACAATACTTCTCAGCCCATGTTAGAAAAGAATATTTCAACTCATTGCTTTTGAATCATCAGAAATACTTTCTAGCAGGTCACAAATAAATAACATCATGTCGAAAATCTTTTCTTAGAATCATATATTTATTTAATATATTAATTATATAAATACAGAATTTCTATATATACATATATATATATAAATCTCTATTAAACAGATGCATTCATTGGGTGCAATCAGTTGGTTGGTGTAATAACATATCATGGAATGTTGGTCCATTAATTTATAATCAATATTATGCATCTATAGAACGTTATGAATGGAATCGATTATGTTCATGTAAATCCATTGTACCTATGATACATTTATCATGGAATATCGCACGAAATATTCGTATAAATGATCGTCATTTATTTGAATTAATTAAATTTATTTTACATCAATCATTAAAATATATACAATTAACATTATCATATTTAGAACAACAATTTGGTCGTGGTGTAGATGTACGAAAACAATTACGTACAACACACGAACCAGCACATTACTGTATAACATGTGATTATGAAGTATTTAATATATTATTTATAACGGAAATTGATCGTAAACATGTTGTACGTTGTTTGGATTGTGCTTTACAATATGATAAACAATTAGAAAATGTTGTTGTTTTATATCAATTTACATTAGATGATCTTAAAACAGTCTACGATCAATTTCAATTATATCTATTACCAACATTAAACTCAACAACACGATCAATAACAAATACGTGATATTTCTGTGCGTTTTTCGTTTTTTTTTTGTCTGTGTTATTTATTATGTTCTATTATTAGTTATTCCTTTTTTTTTTTGTTCGATTGTTGTCTCGTGCACATACACACAAACATAACAGGTTAAATATATATGAAATATATATATATAAACTGCGTTGTATTCTCGATTTTCACGAGATATTGTTGTTTGTTTTGTATAAAATAACTCTTTTGATAAATATAAAAATTTCTGTTTGTATTAATCTATACATATATATAACTGACAACATTTAATGATGAATTCGATTAAAATAAAATGTAATTTAAGGTTGCCTTTTATCTTGACTTCAAAATTGTATACAAGACCTTGACAGTCTAGATTTCGAGGACAATTATAGCCAAAGGTCTGTATGGTACATTAATAAAATAAATCCATTCGGTGTTATTGACTTTATGAAGAAAATAGAAGAAAGAAGAAAAAAAAAGTAATTTATATAACATAATTCTTGAGTATATGTGATGAACATTCTTGCAATTAAAAGTTGTTTTCTCTTTCTTTCTCCTTGTTCGTGTATATGTGTATCTGTCTAAATCTCAAAGTCATTCATTATGGCAAATGTAAGAGAGGAAAGAAAATGACGTCGTTTATGTTATTTTGTATTATTTGTTACTATTACAGTGGTGTATTGAAGGTTCTTTTACTTAGAAAACGACATCATCATCTGCTGTGATTATTCGTCATCATTACCGTCACTCTTGTTTTTTTTTCCTTCCTATATATATTTTTTTCTATTTTTATTCAATGGTCTTCATGACCTTTTCCTTCTTCCTGTAGTCCATGCTATATACATTCTTCTTTTACATCTTCATTTTCGTCATCTTCATCATCGTTTTTTTCTATCATTCTCATCCATATTTTCAGATTGTAATAGAAAAAGACATTTATATAATTACATACCATTTTATTTATCAATTTTTGTGATGACCTTCAACAGTTTCTTTTCTCTTAACGTATTCTTATCTTTATCTAGATTGAAAACAGTGACTTAATGCTTGATTTTCACCGAGACGAATATCATTATTCAATATTATAATAATTTATTTATGGTACGAGACAAAACGGTGTACTGAATTCTTCAGACATTTTACATTGCTGTCGTTTTTTTCTGCTTTGCACTACCTATACCAACAAATGAAACTCTACACACAGTAGAAGGCAAAGGGAAATAGAGAGAACATAACAGCGGCATACCCAGGAGAGAAGAAAGAAAGCAAGAAAAAAAGCGAACGAACAATCGACTCAATCGATAAAGAGCGAGTGCAAAAAGCAGGTCACCTCTTTCTTTAGTATCTTAACTTTGTTGTCGTCATCCTCAACTCTTGTTATTAGTCGTCCACATTAACCACAACACATTCCGTCTCTTATCTATCTATATCTATATACATATACATATATATCGAACAACATATATAAATATCTGTGGCACCAGAAGGTATGCATTAAAAGGTAATAAGAAAAAAAATCATTCAAGAACAAATTTTATTTCAATGGGACGAAGACGAGACATTGATAATGATGATAATGATCAACAAACATCATCTTTTGTATCTTGTATGACATCTAATTTAAATCAACATGAATCTCAAAATAATCCTATTCGAAATTTGGATGAAAATAAAATGAATGATGATGATAATGATCCATTAATACATGATACAATATTACCCCATCGAAAACGTATACGAAAAGATCCATCACAAAATCTACAATCTTCACAATCAACAACATCTTGTACAATATTAAATGTAAGTTTTTTTCTTTTTTTTTATATATATATTTATTAATTAAATAGAAAAGAAACAAGAAGAAAAATTTCTTAAATTAGCCTTATGAAAATATAACTATTAACACATGTTGATAGTACTTTATCATCAATTTTACAAAAGCACCCTTGTAAAGTCGTCCTTGAACGCATGTTGTATGCGACAGCAATGTTTCTCGTACGAGTATGTCTATGTAGTAGAGCATAAGAGAGAGGAAAAAAGAAGAATAAGATGGCAAGGACGATAGACGATATGTGAGGGCGACGGCCTTCGACAGTGAAGGTCGACAAAACATTGGCGGCAGCCTTGTTGTAAGAACTATTACGTCTGACTTATGTCATTTGGTTTATTATATAAACGAAGAATGTTTGTTTCAAAGACTAACAAATCCTTTTTAAACATCAAGTTGTATGTTCATTTATAAACAAAAGAAAAATAAAACAAAATCATCTAATTATTACTATAAAAGAATCTATTCATGTATAAAGTACAATGTTGATAATGAATTTCGACCTTGACAAATATTTTAATGAATAACATATGCTATTTGAAATAATAGAGAAGGATTTTATGTAATTTAGCTTCATTAAAATAAATTTTTATTCCAAATTTTTATTTATATTGATCAATAACAAAAGATAAAACAAATTTTTGACTTTGAATTTAGTCTATAGAGAAAAAAAAACAAAGATTGATTAAAACAACAAGATAAAACAATATTCAAGTAAAAATATTATATATAATGGACTTAATAACTTTTCGTCGGAGTTTTTTTCGAAGAGCTATTTATAATGCAAAAAAACATTGAAATGATTTCATGCATGTAAAGAAATCATTAAAACGATTTCACACGAATAATAAATTTTAAAAGTATATTTTAGTTAATTAATTTCATAAGAATGCGTAAAATGTTCATATTTTGAATAAGCATGTGTGAAATCAGTCTGAGTTCAATTTTAGTTTTATGATAATATACTTTAAACATAAAAATGTCTGCTTTGCGCCATTCTCATGTTATAATAAAAAGACGTAGAAAATTCATTCTAAAACTTGGAGAAATCACATTCATTAAATGTAAGAAATAATAACAATAATTTAATAATATTGTAATTTCCGGAGTTTTTTTTTGGAACATTTCCAAACGACTCAAGATTCTCTATTGCTTTCTTCTAAGAGTAAAAACTTATTCCGCCTATCAGTTGCATTAATTTGGGAGAGTTTTTTTTCATAGATGCAATACTTTGTTGCATGAGCTAATTTTTTTCTCGAATAAAAAATCGATAAAATCATTAAAATGACTCTTCTTTTTTTTTCTAGGATGAGAACACTCACAATCCAAATTCTCTTCATGTTGAAGCGGATTCAATATGTTCAATAGATATTCCATCCATATCTCCTTTTCATCAACGAAATCAATTAACAGCTGCAGCAAATGGTCTTCTAAGTCTTTCAAGTTCGTTAAATAAAAAACAAAAATACCATTTGTTTTTAAATAAATTTTATTTTTTAAATAGATTCTTTATTTATTAATAATGAAGACAATCCTAATGAATGTCATTCAAATTTTACAAATAGTGATGGAACAACATCAACAACTGATGGAAATTTATCTTTATTATGTTGTGTTTGTCAAGATCGTGCATCGGGTAGACATTACGGTGTACTTTCATGTGAAGTAATCAAAACTCAATTAATTCTATCCAATTATTATTGTTATTATTATTTATTTAGGGTTGCAAAGGATTTTTTAAGCGTAGTATTCGTAAACAAGTATTATATACATGTCTTAGTACAAAAGAATGTCCTATAAATAAATTTATGCGAAATAGGTATATATTCAATGAGTATAAAGTTGTTTTTCAAGTTTCTTTTGTTCAGGTGTCAATATTGTCGATTACAAAAATGTCTTCAAGTTGGTATGCGTGTTGAAGCTGTTCAAAATGAACGCCGACCTTATACAAGCCATGGTGATAATAAACATGATTTAATGACAAATGGTATTAATAATCAAAGAATACGGAAACAAAGTGATACAATATCATTAAACACAGTAAGAGAAATAACATATTCGCACAAGAACAAACTAAAAAAAAATTATTTTTATGTTTTTTTGTAGCTACTAACATCATCATCAAATGGAATTTATCCATTAACATCATTTTTAGCTAATCTAACAAATAATCGAGATAATATAACACAAACAACAGCAACAAATGAAAATAAAATTCAACAACAAAGTACACTTCATAGTATTCTTACATCAACATCAAGAGTTAAATCACCAACACGTATGTATAAAATATTTTGTTTATTTTAATTATAAACAAAAAAACATTATTGTTTTTTTTTTTGTTTTACAGCTGTATTTCTTTCTCCACCATCCTCGTCCTCCTCCTCATCATCATCAACATCAAGTACAACTAATCTTCGTATTGATTGTAATGTAAAAAGTGAAACAATGGAAACAATTAAAACTAATAGTCAACATCAACAACAAACACTTGCAATTACAAGAGCTTTTGATAATTTAGCTAAAGCTGCAGCTCATGTAAGATTTCCTTTATCGATTATTTAAATTTGAATTTTTTTTTGTTTTTGAAATTCTTCATCTAGTCTCGATCAAATACAACTAATAATCCATTATCTATTATGCAGCAACAATATTTATTTAATGAAAAACGTTATTGGGAACAAATTGAACGTTAGTATTAGGTTTTTTTTCTTTTTTGTTGGAATGTATATTTATTTATTTTTGTTTAAATATAGGTCCATTAGTTACTGATAAAACAAGTAAATTTACAATAACTCCACCAACAAATCGAGAGTTTCAACAAGCACAATTATTATTACCAACAAATAGTTTTATATGTGAATCAGCATCACGTATTCTTTTTCAATCAATTGATTGGATTAAAAATAATACATGTTTTCAAACACTTGAGTAAAGAATTTCTTTTTTAAACATTCAAAAAGACTAAAATAAAATGATATTTGTCATTTTTTATTTATCTGTAAAGATCACAAACACAAATAATACTTTTACAAAATCATTGGTTACCATTATTTATTCTCAGTCTGCTTCAGTGTTCATCAACAATTAGTTTAGCAAATATACTTACTGCTTTACTTGCAAGTAAGTATAGACATATATATATATATATCTATGATTCAATCTCTTTTTCCTTTTTGTAAATATTTGGATAAAAAAAAATGAATTTTTAGTTTAATAGTATTTTTTATAGAAGATAAATTGAAATTTTAATCTTTTTAATTTTATTCTTTAGAAAAACTGGATAATAATGAACTGAACAAGTGGCTTGAATTACGTCGTATTCAAGCACTTTTTTATGAATTTGATCGTCTACATGTAACCGATATAGAATATGCCTATTTAAAATTAATGTCAGTTTTTAATCCTATTAATGATACTGGTAAATAAATTTTCTTTTGTTGTTTTTCGTAATTCTTTATTGTATTAAATTAGATTATATATTATCATATGATCAAATTGATGCATATCGTACATTAACATATAAAGAATTACATGATTATATAAATGATCGACTAATATCAACATCTTATGAAGAATATTGTGGTGATAGTGAACGATTAGGTCGACTTTTACTTAAATTACCATCATTAGCTGAACTTGATACAAGTATTATTGAAGAACTTTTCTTTGTTGGACTTATTGGTATATGATTTAATGTTTCTCTTAGTTTTATTTAAAATACATATGTTTTTATTTTTCTAAAATAAACAGGTTCAGTACAAATTCATAAAATCATTCCATGTATTCTTAAAATGGATGTTGCATCATCATCATCAAAACGAACATCATCACCGATGATCAAATGTGAAAGAAGTGAACAATTACAACAGCAACAGCAACAGCAACAGCAACAGCAACAGCAATCACTCGTATCATCATCATTATAGGAAAAAAGAAATCTATTATCCGGTGTTTACACTATTCTTCCTAGTTTTGTTTTTCTATTATCTCAGGTGTGCGTGTGTGTTTGTGAGTGTTTATCCCCGTATTTATTTTATTTTATTTTTTGTTTGTGTACTATTTTGCCTTTTCTTTTTTTTTTTTTCTAATGAGTGACTGATGTAGTCATAGCATATGCGTGTGCGAGAGTGTGCTTCTGTTCTTGTAAGCAAGAGACAAACGATTGACCATATCTCAGGCAAATAATGAAGCTCATCAAGTTATATTTTATAATTCTTATTTTGAATTCATCAGGCTGTTAACTATAAGAAATGATGATGGATCTAATCAATTATAATTCTGAAAAAAAGTCTCAATACTACTTTCAAGATGTTAGTCATTCGAATAAAAAGTATCTTTGGAAGACATACGAACTAAAAAGAATATTTTCTTCTAATCGAAATATGGGGTCGAGACTATAATTTTTCAAATTTAACGCTCGATATATATGTACATTGACTGTCAAAAATATAATATTATTTTGTTTATATCTCAAAAAATAGATGAACTAGCGTGATACGGTTTTCATCAGATTATAGCTCGTAGTTTCTAATATATTAGCAAAAAATATCAGATCAACTTATTGACAGATTTAGTTTTTATTGACGATACAATCAATCTCAGCATGCCGTTTTTCATCCTGTCAAAATCATCCAATCACGTTTTTGCAAACTGTTACGTGCCTGTCATACATTGAAAGTTTTCTTTATAATACATGATTGAATAGAACAAATTACGCTTTACATAGAGAGTACCTCTTATCTGAGCCTTCCCTTGAGGAGGGATTTAAAAAACAATGTGTCTTTGACCTATATAAGAAATTTTCAACATAAAGAGGTTTTTCTCATATGATGTATAGCCAATTTTTTTGCTAAATATAGTAATAACAAGAGTACTATAAATTGTAGTAGATATTCTATTTGAATAGATATTTCATTTTGGAAAATTCTGTTGATCGTTTCCGATATATATATATCAATTAGAGATAGACGTTCTTGTACGGTCTCACTCATGCAGTAAAGTATACAAAATTCTTGTAACTCTTGATCCCTTATTGGCAACTGGAATAGCTATTTTTAGAAACATTGCAAAAATGAAGAACATGTGGTATCAAAAAACACTTTATACACTATGTGTAAAGAGTTTTCTAGGCTGCCGATTGGTTAAAAAAAGTATTTTGTGTCCTTGCTCTGTCTCTGTGATACACAAGTTACAGAAGAGACAATTATGAGATTGTTAAAAAAAGGATCTCTTCTATTATAAATTTTTTCTTTTTTACGTACAAGAAATACTTATCTTGATGATGTGCTATGCGATAAATATCGACAAATGTTGCTGCTATTCAATAAAATCTGACCAAGAATTTTTACACGAGCTAGTTGGACAAGAGATCGTATGACATAAAACGACAACTTTAGTTTTCATTGCTCCGCAATGACATGGAACAAGAAAAGCTTTAGAAATTCTCGTCTAGACGCCATACTTTTTAATATTTATGCATGGATAAGAAGTGTCGGTGTAGGACAAGATGAGACCCAAAGCACATCCACATTCTAAGTCTATCATTATCATAAAAGTACATTTAAAAACAAAAGTATTATATATTCTGAAAGTGCTCAAAGTTTTCTATCATTCTGTATATTTATGCTTTAATCAGCACTTACTGCCTAGAAACTAAATCAACTGCAATAAAAGCATTCTTATCATCAGATTTTCACGAATTGAACCTTGTTACTATCTCCTCAATAAAATTTTTAAATTTATCAGTTCTTACAGAAATAGTCCTCTAAAAAAAAGAGAGTATTTATATACTCTAGTAAAGCTGAAAACTTTCTATCCTTCTATACATTTGTCTCTTGTCTTGTATTCGAATTATGATGAATAATGTGAATATAATGTAGGCACACTTATTGATATGTCAGTAGAGTTTGAAATTATCTATCATCAAGAACTTTTGAAATGAGAAACAAAAGAAAGCGATAATTGACATGTTTAAGTTTCTAGAGTTTGTCAACGAGTATGTATCGTTAATACTCACAGTATGCAGCAAAACATACGTGTGAAACATTGTAAAACCTATGTAGGATGATAGAGGATTTCAAGTTCTACCACGATTCACAATAATTTTAGTAGAAGTTTTGTCTCATAAGAGAAAAAGAATCGAAAGAAAATTCACCTGGAGAAAAAAGTGTAGATTTTTGGTATTAGTCAAGTGAAAGTAGATCCAATGAACTTACCGTGTCTTTTGCCAATAAAGAAAGGCAAAACAATAGATAAATATACAGGATACAATAAAATTTCATCCTCTCTCAGAATATACAAATATTGTTTTTTTTTTCTGGAGATCTATTTCTGTAGCGACTGATATAAGTTTAAAAAGTCAATTGAGACGACATTGACAAAATTCAATTTGTCGAAATTTGATGAAGAGCAGATCTTCATTACAGTTGATTTATTTTCCAGTCAGTAGGTGCAGGTTAAAGTGTAAATATACAGGATGATAAAAAATCTCCGAGTCCTTTCAGAATATATAATTAACTTTTTTCAGGAGGATATTTTTGTTTTTGTGTATACAATCATATAAACAGCAGAATATTGAATGCTGAATTCACACACTTGATAAATGAAATCTAGACGGTAAAAAATATCAATGTATAGTAGTAACAAGAAAAACTCATTGCAATGTTTGATTTGTACTTTTTTCATTTCTTTGCATAATAAAATACTGAACATTAGTATATACGAAGAAGAAAAAAAACAAAAATATATTTCATTTCAGAAGAGGATCATTTTCGTTAGAATCTAATGGTAATTCTTCATCAATATCTACATTTAAAGTGTTACATCTTGTATTTCTACCTGGTGTATTAACTAATGTTCGAAGATATTGAGCTTCAGCTGAACCAGTTTGTTCAATAAGTGTCGTAAAATGTGATTTTGAATTCGAAAGTAATGCTTGTGGTGTATCGAATTCAAGTAATTCTCCATTACCAAGTACCTAAGATAAAAAAATTAGATTTATAAAGAATAAAAATAATATCAAATTTTAAATAACCATAATACGATCACTATCAATTACTGTACGTAATCGATGAGCTACTGTTAATACAGTACATTGTTTAAATATTTCTCGAATAGCTTTTTGTATTAATTCATCTGTACTAAATAAAATTATTTTCATACGTAGAAATATTTATTTTATTTTTCTTTATTTACGCATTATCAACATTTGCAGTTGCTTCATCAATAACAAGTATTTTACATTGTTTTAAAATAGCTCGTGCTAAACAAATTATTTGTTTTTGTCCAACACTTAAATTAGATCCACTTTCATTAACTAGTGAATCAAGTCCATTTAACATAATATCAGTAACTAATGTTTTTAATTGTACCTAAATTATAAAATAAATCGTTTTTCAAAAAGAAAAAAAAAACACATTATTTAATCTTTTTTCTTTTGTTCGAACTTGTTCAAGTGCATTCCATATATCATCATCAGAATAATTATTAAATGGATCAAGATTACTTCGAATTGTACCAGAAAAAAGAACAGGATCTTGTGGAATAATTGAAATTCGACTTCGTACATCATCTAATCCAATATTTTCGATATTAATATCATCAATTCGAATTTGACCATCAATAAGTATACCCATACGAAAAAGTATTTGAATAAAAGAACTTTTTCCAGCACCTGTTCTTCCAATAATACCCACTTTTTCACCCCCTTTAATTGTCAATGATATATTATGTAAAGCAAATGATGCATCTTCATCATTTGAATAAGACATAGAAACATTTTCAAATACAATACAACCATGTGATGGCCAATTAGATGGTGGTCGATTCTTAACTGATACTTGAGCAGGTGGTTCTTGATCAAGTGAACAATATTCTAATACTCGTTCAACAGCGGTCATGTCTGTTTCAATGTATACTGTCATTCTAAAATAAATATTATTCTATTGAAAAGTATATAATTCTTGAAAATAATCTAACCTGACAGTCCATTGAAAAAGACCCATCAAATTAAGACAATAAGACAGTGTTAAAGCAATATCTGCTGTTGAAAATTCTTGTTTGTAAATACGTATAATTAAAGCTAAAAATGTAACAAGAGCAAGAAAAATAAATGATATCCAGTTAAAACGTATTGCTGCCCAACGATTAGTTGTAAGAATTAAATAATGAACACGTGTATGATTATCAATATGATGAAGAAATTCATTAGAACACATTTGTTCAACATGATAAGATCGAATAACTTTTAAACCATTAATAGTTGATGTTAAATGTGAATAGATTGGACTTCTTGTTGTTCCATCAAGTCGTTTTAGATCACGAGAACATTGAGCAAAACGATGTCGTATTATTAACATACTACATAATCCTATTCCAGCTGGTATAAATGACCAAGGATTTAGTATACAAACTAACATGACTGTGCCTAAAACTGCAAATACACACTAAAAAAAACAAAGAAACACTCTTCTCTATTAAGTGATATACACATTTGTGTTTATTTTTATTTACATCGAAAAAGTCGGGAAGATCCTCTGGCAATTGTTCATCCATGACATTTACATCATTTGTAAAACGATTTAAAATTCGACCTATTGACAATTTGAAAACTAATATTGAGTATATTATTATTCTCATTGATTACATACCAACAGGATTAGTATCAAAAAAATTAATTGGACATCGAATTATTCGTTGAAACATTCTATACAAAATAAAAAGATGATGATTGAAAAATCACAGAAGAAAACAAAAATCACCTGTTATGAAGAATTCGCCCAGCATTTAAACACATTAATTTCGCAGCAATAATACGAAGAAACGACAATAAGAAGAGAATGCCGAAAAGTACTAAAATTTAATATAATTTATTACAAAAATACAGTAGCGTATGAAAGTCTCGAACTTAGAGAAATTGCTTGATCACACCCCCTTTTCGGATGTTAAAATCAAAGTTTTTTTCGATTTTTGGTTTTTCATCGCTAATATAGGTCTGAAGTGTCCTCTTTTAAATGCCATATAAATAAGAGTTCTTCGTTGTTCTTTAGAACTTTTATTAAATCCAAGGGGGGAAAAGCGAATCCTGTATCCCATGGATCCTTTTGGATTCTAGGATCCAAAAGGATCCACTTTTTTCCCTTGTAGGATCCAAAAGGATCCACTTTTTTCCCTTGTAGGATCCAAAAGGATCCACTTTTTTCCCTTGTAGGATCCAAAAGGATCCGAAAGAATCTATAGAATACAAAAGGATCCATGGGATACAGGATCCGCTTTTTCCCCCTTGATTAAATCCACTCTCGGAACTTCTAGAAAAGCTTGCACTACGATTATTTTTTTGTATGTAAAATTCTCCTAATGATAATAATTATGTCTCATTCCAAAGGTGCTGAGAAAACGCGTCATAGACCTCTAAGACTACTAGTTTTTAATCAGTTTAGTTAGAGGAAAAAAAGTCTGGATACAAACAGAAAACTTTGTTTTTTGTTTTTCCTGGTCATCGAGATCTATCTGTTCTGAAAGTTTCAAATCTTTCTGATGAGTCGTTCTTAAGAAACTCTGAAAAGTAGTGGGGTCTTCCTAAATAGAAAAAGAATTATGATGACAAGATGACCTTTCTAAGTCAGTTAACATCTCATTATTTAGCATTATATCCTAACTATCTATGCAACTAATTTCATGGAAGTTCATTAGTTCTCTGCAACACAGGAGTTTTTCTTGTGACTGTTAACATACAGGAAAATGATCTGGTGTCCTTTTGAGAGGAGAACACAAAAGTAATTCAGTGAATGCAGCTCAAATTCTTAGAAAAACTATTTCTACATTTGGACATCAATGCATGCAAGTTTCATAAACAAAATTGTATACTGATGAAAAATACTATTGTTATGGCTATCGTGTTGACGAGGCGAAGAATTCAGAAACATTCAGAGATGCTGATATTCAAGCAAATGAACTCATTAAATAAATCATCATAGGTTAAACTCCAGTTCCTATCAAAAACATCAAGAAGTAATCAAGTATTTGGTCAAAAGTAGTGTAAAATTGAGTCAGTAGTCCTTTTTCAGATTAAAAAGCTGAATGTAAAAACACAAAAGGTGTCTTCCATTATCATTCTCTTTATACTTATGCCATCAAAGCAGAATTGTGTCTCTGACCTAAACTCATTAATAAATGTTTACACAACAATGTTCAAGTGTTCAGCATGTATAATCACTGAGATCCTGTGAAGCGAAGACTTTTCTTGACTACTGTAGAATACTCGTTTATGAATAAAACTTACTGCAATAGATATAAAATCTTCGATTACGATATACATTCCATTCAACATCATTCATTAAACTTATATTGTTAACTTTTTCAATATTTTTTGATGTACAATTATTAAATGATGAATATCGGTGACTTTCATCATCACTCCATGATGCTAACCACCAACTACTATACATCATTATAGCTTGTTGTACTGTAAAAATCAGTATTATAATAAAAAATCCAACGAGTGTACCAACACCAGCTCGTAAATATGATTTATAAACATGCCATCGAACTTTTCCTTTCTGTTTTTTATCAATATGTGTATGCAAATTTGTTAAATATTCTTGATCGTCTTTTTCGGATTGTATGGAACTAATAACTGATTGTTGTTTTTGAATATTTGCACGAAATTCTTCTCCATGTTGATTAATATCTTCGAGTAAACGAGCAAATGATGATGATAAAGAAAGCAATTCAACATATGTACCCATTTGTGCCATTCTACCCTAAAAGATTAGAATTAATTCATTATTCAAAATTAATTTCAATATTTACATTGTCAAGAACAATAATTTTAGTTGCATCTTGTAAAAATTGTATTTGATGTGTAACTAATATACAGATTTTGTCTTGAAGATAACCTTTAATTGATCTATAGGAAATTAAAGAAAAACCAAATCCATCGAAAAAATCCTTTGTTTTCTTTTTTACTTTTCAAAAAGATGTTTTGAAACTTTAGTATCAACAGCAGAAAGAGGATCATCTAATAAATAAATATCTGCATTACGATAAAGTGCTCGTGCCATATTAACACGTGCTTTTTGTCCCTAAATAATATCGAATATTATTTTTCAAACTACTTCAATCTAGTCTTACTCCAGATAACATTATACCTTGATCTCCGACAATGGTTTTAGCACCATTAGCTAATTGATCAAAATCCTATATATTTCAACAAAGAAAAAAATTATGAATATATAAAAATCATAGATCAACAAACTGTATCAAGTGCAGTAGCACGTATGACACGTTGAAATAATTTAGAATTATATTCTTTCCCAAAAAGAATATTATCTCTTATTGTCGATGAAAAAATCCCTAATTGAAAAAAAAAAAGAAAAGAAGTGCATTACTTACGAGAAAACTTCTCCATATATTGAATTGCTTTTTAACAGAGACAATGTTTATTTGATGAGTACTAGGGATTAATAGAAAATTCTACAATCTTTCGATTTTTCGAGGCTTCGTTCTCAAGATATCAAAATTTGACTGGTTTTTCCACAAATATCTTTGCTCATATGTCAAATCGACTTTCGAGTTTCGACTTCAAACTTTGCGCGAACAATATTCTAGAAATTTGAATATTCAATGTCTCAAGATAGGAGATTCTAGAAAATCTACAACTTGCCAAATGTACTAATCTCATTAAGAACTGTGTTCGTACAGAATTTGAATTCGAAACTCGAAATTTGGTTTTCCACGTGATCTAAGGAAAAACCTCATCTTTTTGCTGAAAAATCCAGTCAAAAAGCAATTTGATACGTGAAGGAATTCACTCATGAGATTCATTGTTTGTTGTTAACAACTACTTACAAGCCTCTTGAGGCACATAACAAAATGATCCATGTAATCGAATTTTTCCATCAAAAAAAGATATTTCACCTGTTAATGCTTGTAAAAGAGAACTCTATAGAAGCCAATTATATTAAAAGATTATCTTTAGACAAAAAGTTATATACTTTGCCGGATCCAACTGGTCCAATGACACATATCAAATCACCTGGATAAGCATTGAAAATGATATTTTTTAATGAAAATGTTTCATTCTGAAAAAAGAAATATAGGCTTACAAGGGAATCTCTTCAGATGTCAAATTGCTTTTCGACCGAGCTGATATTTATTTGATAAGTACTAGTGAGTAATAGATAAGTCTACAATCGTTTGGTTTTCGGAACCTTCGTTCTCGAAATATCAAAATTTTACCACATTTTCCAACAGAAATGTTGTGATCACGTAAAAAATCGACTGTGACTTCAAACTTTGCACGAACAAACTTCTCAATGAGATTAGTTTATTTTACAACTAATATTTTCTTTCTGAAGATGTAAATAAATGAACAAAACTTCCTTTGACACATGAAAGAATTTTGAATATTCCATATCTCAGGATATGTGATACTAGAGAAGTTACAGTTTGCTTAATGAACTGATCTCATTGAAAACTTTCTTCATACAAAGTTTGAAGTCAACATTCGATTTTTCACGTGATCACAGCTTTTATGTAGAAAAACACAGTCAAATTTCGATATCTCAAGAATAAAAGCTCGAAAAATTAAACCGTTGTAGACTTTTCTATTACTCACTAGTACTCATCAAATAGGCATTGTCTCGGTCAAAAAGCAATTTAACACTTAGAGAAGGTCCCTCGTTAGACGTAAACCAATATCAACAATTGAATATAACCTTATTCCATTGTGCATGTTTCAAATGACACATCACTTGACAAGAAGACATTTTTTCTTTCTTATCATTAAATAATTTATTTTCATCTATTGATTCAACTTTCGAATGAGAAGATGACAATAATCGATGATCTCGTTCAGATTCATCAAGTAAAAGAAATGCCTATAAACAATTAGAAATATTCTTTAAGATTAAAAATAATAAAAGTCATTTCTACTAACTTCAATACGTTTTTGAGCAGGCAAGTAATGTGATAAATCACGAACAGCACTGGAAAAAAATTCAATAATAGATACTCTCATAAAACCTAGCATACAAGATGAAATAGCAAAAAAACGTGTATCAAATCTTAAATCAAATGACCACATTGTTCCATACATCATTAAAAATGTTAAACTAATATGAGTTAATAAAAGTAAAGCTTGAAAACAATCAGATATTGCAAGTAACATGTATTGAATAATTTCACGTCTAAATAAATTTAAATTGTATATCTACATATGAACAAAGTTCAAATAAATTTACTTTCTCACAAGATTTATTTTTTTTATCAATGCTGTTTCCCAACAATACATTTTGACAATACGCATTGATTTGATTATTTCAGACATTATTTTAACACGTTCATCCGTTATTTCGACAATTTTTGTCCTATAATTTATAAATTAGATGTATCAAAAAGACAAATTCTAGATAATAGAATACCGTAAATATACAGTAATACGACCATAGAATGATTGAAAAAAAAATAGAAATAAAGTGTATCCAATAGCAATAAACGCAATATATTTTACAAAATACCAGAATAAATAACTAATTGAAATGATTCCTATCGGTGCAACCTAAAGAATTCAAATATCCATTATACAAAAATATTTTTATGCAAAAAAATTTCAGTATTTTAAAAGATGTTTATAAATCTTACCCATATATAATTGAATAGATAGAGAGCTTTTTCAATTCGCTTAGCATCGTTTGATATTAAATTGGTAATTTCACCAGAACTAACACTATTCATTGAATGACTTGATAAACGAAGTACCTTTAAATTAAAATATTGAATTATCATTAACTGAAACCAATTTTTGCAATATTAAGAAATTCTTATTATCATCGATTTCGATCAATATCCTTTTCAGCGTACATTTAATACGCTCACTTTTCTTTATAGACACTCTAAAAATATTCTATCACATACTAAATGTATCTAAGCAAAAGAAACGTTGGTAGAGATTGACGAAGACGAAATATTCAAAGATATTTAGATACATAGAGAACTAGAAATGTTTTTTTTGTACAGTTCATTTAAAAGTTTCATAGTGAACTAAAGTATTCCGTTATAATGCATAGACATATTTATAATTATGTGCAAGGTTTCATATCTTTAGGTTTTCTATAACGTCTAATTCTTACATTTCTTTCAAATTCCTCATACGTTACTTTTCAAATGGCTCACGAGATCGATTTCGAATTATGATTTCATACGAACAGAAAATTGATTCAATATACCTAAAAAGTTGTGTTTTTTTCAGTGCAGGCAGGGTAAGATCCAGAAGCTTTATATCAGATAGTTCGCAATCGATTCATGATGAAATTCAACCTAGGAAATTTATGTTGCTCGTTTAGGTTGTTCGTTCAGCTGCTGTTAACACAGACATAATTGATGCTGTCCGAACGACAATTGAAGATCATTCTCACTGAATATACGAATTAATACAAGGCACTCCGAGCACAATATCGCCACTAATTATTTCTATTGGTTTAAAGTTCTACGATGTTTGATGCTCAATAAATGCATTATCAGCTCATCAGTGACGGAAAGTAGTGTCATGTTCAACCGTCTTGTCATTTACTGAAGAGATTTAGATGTGACAAGTTCAATCTTGTATTCGACATTATCATTAGTGATCGATCATAATCATATCACGAGAATAGAGAATAAGAAGTATAGTCTAATGTCCTATTAAATGTCGTATAATAAAACCCATGTTATTGGGCTCTAATAGACAGAATTTAGGCTGTCAGTAGCTGTCTAATAGAAGTTTTCAAGCTGCCTCAAAAGAGAAATAAAAGGATCGATTTTGTGGAATTGGAGGAGGGGGGGAGGGGGGAGCACAAAATCATATGAAAGTGTATGTTGATCGGGTATGTTCCATAGATCTAAGCCTACGTAACTCTTTTCTATTACTAAAATTGAACTATTAACTACAAAAAATTAAGCTCAACAACAACAACCATCCAATGTTATACATGCGTTAAGTAGTCATTAATGATTTTTCAAAAACTCATCTCAAATTTCACCTCCATGAGCAATTTTAATCAAATGCACTAGTGCACATTGTTGATAAGCTGTTTCACTTTTGGAAAATAACACTAAACCCAACCTTTTAATATTTCTCTAAAGGATTAGCGAAGAAAAAACTTTTCTGGTGTTCCATTTACATATCTAATCATAAATATTTGTTATTATTGCTTACTTTCCGAAAAATTAAACCCAAATAAGCAATACGCATTTGTGCCGCGATAAGATCAATTTTATAAATATACTAAAAAACTAATCACATGTATTATATATAATTATGAAAATAAAAATAATACCTGATTAAAAATAGTACCCGAAGTCAAAGAAGCAATAATAGTAGCTATTGCAAAAAGCCATGCTTGCCAAACAGGTATTGTAGAACATGGTTCAAAGAAACTCATAAGAAAAGTTAATAACAATGGCTGAGCAATTCGAATCAATCCCTATATAATAACATAAAATACAGAACATAATTTCGTTACATACAAGAATTATCTATTAACTTCAATAACAGATAAAAAATCAACTTACGTTTAATACTTCGAAAAAACCAAGAAGAAATGGCTTCCATCCTATAGTACGTAACGTTGCTCGAATTAAGCTGGGTTTCTGTGGATTTCGTTTGATTTCATTAAACCAATTCTCTTCAAGTTTATCCGTAAGTGTTGATGATTTGAGATACTCAGGAAGATCATAAAGATCATCTAAATAAAGTGTACCTTGTTTACGACTTTTCTTTAATAAAGGTGACACCCAACTATTGAAATAATTAAATTATTATCTATATTTGAAAAAAGAAATAAATATGATTACTTACTGATGAATAAATAGTGAAAATATGTTAGCATGTAGGTAAGGAGCAGAGTCGATCGAAGAAGTTGATGACATCTATATGAAAAGAATAGGTTTTTTTGGCTTTTGTGTTGTAGATTTTTTATCTTGTTCGCTGGTTGTATTATATGTCAACTATAATAAAAAAGTATTCTTTGACACATCAAAAGAAAAAGAAGAAAATAAGAATCCATGAATCAATAAAACGGTCGTTTTCTTTCTCTGGAAACATGTGTTGACTGTCCCAAATAAATACACTATATATATATATCTAGATATGAAATCAATTAAATAGTATTTATCTGATGTGACAAGAAATGATGAAATATTTCGTCAGTGCTTATGTTAATATTGTAGATAGATTAGTAATTTCAAATAAAAATCAATCAAAAAGTACGAATCCTTTGAAGTAGTATAACTAATATTATATAAATAAAATTTTTCATATAATTAAAAGACGTAATAACAAAATTAGATAAAAAAGACTATAGAGTAAGACCGTGAGTATGCAACCACTTTTTTGGAAAAAGTTTATTTTATCATAGCTTTTTGATGGTAGATAGATGGAAAATAGAAAACAACTTTGATCGAAAAAAGTTATTGCCTTTCATATGAAATGACTGAGATTTGAAGTATTTTCTTGAAGAATCTTATGAAAACTATCGAAGTTATTAAAATATTTTCAACTCATATTTTGCCACTTAGTGGAAGACCAATAGACTAAAGCAACCACCAAAATATTCTTCATTTTATTGAGATGTAACCAAGATATGAACGTTTCAAAACTTGGTATTTATATAAAACTATAGAAATGTGGAAATCGTCTATATTTTATCTACTTCTAAAATCCGATCAATTTCACTAAATATGCGTTTACTTGCTGATGATAATGCTGGAATGGAATACAATGTTAGTGCCAAACATCATAATTGTGGACATTTTCAAGAATGTTTTTTTCCGCACGATAACGCATGGTCACTTGTTCCATGATTCATTTTTCTCTTCATATGTTCAGTTACTTCGTCATGTGGTTCATTATTGTCGGTAAATAAATTTTCATTAAAAACGAATTTTTTTAGTAAAACAACATCGTTTCCTATTTTTGTAATCTGTTCTCAAGTACAATAAATTGCTCAATCATGCTAGAACCAATTTTCACTTCCATGAGTTTATATAACTTAATAGCTTGAAAAAGTAAAAAATATTTTGAAACATCGAGATCACATTAACCTTTTGGATGTGAAATATTTCATACAACTAGTAAATTAGTTGATCGCATAAATAATAAATTATTTCTTTAATCTTCATTTAGTTATCTGAATATGTTTTTTTTTCGAACTAAGTTTACTGATTATAATATGCGCTTTACTCTAAGCTATGACAAAAAAACATCCTTTAATATTCCGTCTTTTTCAAACATAAGTAACATGCGATATAAATAATTCATTTACGTTGTAGACCCATTGACATCTTTTATACTTATGTGAAAGCGTCGATAATATGAATAATTAAAACTCTTCTTTATCTCAATATGTCGTTAAAAGTAAATGTTCACTTTTGTTTGATTAGATTATTCTATTATTAAACAATTACACAAGTGTAATTCATGCATTTTTATTTTCAACATACTTCTTTATAACCGTTTATATACTTGAAATTTGACTGTATGCACTTCGGTAAAAATTAACGCTCTTCAACTTGTGTAGTAATTAATCTACAGATCGTAGCGTCTGTCAAAATTTCATGGAAAACCTCTTTCAAAAACAAACGAGATGTTTCCACCTAGTTTGTCAGGATAATACAATGCAAGTACATTCAGATGAGAGTCTCTTCTTTAGTTCATGGATAAAAGAAAAAGCAATGTGTTACAACTAGTGTTAATTTACACTTGCAACCAAGTGAAAAGTTAGTATTTGCAAAAATATAATTACAATTGTTTTTGATTTTGGATAATTTTCATTAATATCATATGCTTTTTAATAAAAGATTAGTACATAAGATAATTTAAAGATTTCATTATGAAAAAAACAAAAAAAGTTTTTTATTTGCATAATTCAGCTTTATACAAGTACATTTAGAAAAGAAACCATGTCAATGTATTGTTTTTCTGATCTATAGTTCCGAGTGATTCTCAAAATAGATGTATTTTGAAGTAAGCCGCCAGTTCTCGAACGACATTTTGACAAACAATTATTCTGTTTGAAGCTAATTAATAGAATTCTTTTTCTTTTCTCTCTATTTTAATACAAATGCTGTTGGCTTATAGTTTTCTAGATGAGATCTAAAGGGTGAACCAAAAGTTTTGGTCCATTTTTTAAAAATTACTTTTTCTTTCTTATTAAAAAATATAAAAATACTTAAAATTGGACATTTAACCTATCGTAATGGGATGATAATTATCCTAAGTTTTCATAACTCCAGCCCTAGTTATAAGGAAGATGTATAGGCTTATATTGAATGAAGATTTTTTTCTCATGATCGAAAAAATGATGGAAGTTTTCTTTATAAAAAAAAAACATCTAGAATGGTTTATTCTTACCATAAATAAAATAACAAACATTATAATATTCACATTTCGAGACTACTTTTTTTGTAAAATCGCTTAAAATTAAAAATTTGCTCTTCACTTCTTTTTGGAATTATTTTTGAAAAATTGATATTTAATAAAAATGATGAAATTGAGGCCAAACGTCGAATGATTAAATATTAAAAAGAAAAATGCCTAAAGAAATATCGTAAAATGGAAAAACTGTTGACTAAAAGTAGATCGAAGTGAAATCTTGAACAATGTTCAAAAGTTTATATAGAACTGATTCAAGTAGCTCACATTGAAATAAATATACTGTAGACATCAAATAGAGCGATCGACGTAATTCTGCTCAACATAATCTTATCGTAATTTCGAATTTGTGGTACTTCTTTTTCAATTTTTCTTTTTCTCTTTTCATACAAAATCGTTGTCTATTATTTTCAGGTCATGAGGAAAAAAAAAGTCTTATAATGTAAGCCTATACGTCTTCCTGATAACTAGGGCTGGTGTTATGAAAATTTAGGATAATATTTATCTCATTACGATAGATTAAATGTTCAAGTTTGAGCATTTTTGTATGTGTCATAAGGAAGAAAAAGAAATTGTTTAAAAATTGACCAAAACTTTTGGCTCACCCTTTATGTACGTCATTTATTGCGAACTTTACTTTTGAATATTAAACTAATAAAGTATTATTCATGTGAAAATAATTTTCTTTTTATGTTTAAATAATTGTTAAGGATGCTGAATTGTGTTTACTTCAAGATTCATTATTTAAACATCAAAGAGTCAGTTTTTTTATTTTTAATTCTGAAGAAAAGCGAACATGACTCTTCCACATTGTTAGATTCATTTAAAAGAAATGTTCACGTCTGATATTATATTTAGAATCTAAATGTCAATTAAAATAAGCGGAATATCGCATTTTATTTGAAAAACTCATAATCCATCGATATATATATATATATATATATTATATTAGACAACGTCATTACGATTTTACTACTTCATTTTATTTTTTGACATTTGTTACTTTCATAAATTCAATCAAAATGAATTCAAATAAAGTGGGAATGATTGTTCTTACTATCTTTCAAATTCCGTCTTTCTGCTGTATCATGCTTATTTTCTTTCATTTTCTTGAAAAAACAAGCCCATTAAGACGTTTACAAAATCATTTACTTATGTATTTATTAATCTTTGCTACATGTACTATTATTATTGAATTCCCTAATACACAAAAGTTCCTTTGGTCAGGTTCTGCTACTATTCACACACATTGGTTTTGTCATGTTTGGAATATACTATTTACTTCTATGGCTACACTTAATCGTGTACTAACAGCATTATTATCAATTGAACGTAATTTACTTGTATTTCATCCTCAACTTTATCGTACTCGTCGTTCACGTTTTTTATTTCATTACAGTCCTCTCATCTGTATTATATCAATCATTATAATCTATATAGTAGTCGTAACTATTTTCGTGACATGTCCATATCATTCATTCAATTATTCAATTTTTATGTGTGGTTTTACATGTTCAATGATAGTAGAACTTTTTGGTACACTTTATATATGGCTTTATGTTTTTACGCCTACAATGCTGACGATTATTGCTTGTATATTATTACCTATTCGATTTATCATTCAGAAACGACATTTTCAACGTATACGATGGTATCGTGCACGAAAAATGATTATTCAAACAAGTCTTATTGCTAGTGCATATACAATTTGTTGGTTACCATATACAATTATTCTTCAATTACTTATCAATAGACGTGTATCTATATTTCATCCAATTATAAATTCATTTCTCACGTTTACACCATATGTAACTTCATTATTAACACCATTCATTGTTCTTCATGCAGTATCGGGATGGATGAAGCCTGTAATAATACAAAAAATTAAACGTTGCTTTTTTCCACAACGTCAAGGAATCGTTCAACCAATTAGTAACTTAGTAGTTAAGCAAGCAAATAATTTAATGATTGACACGCATAATCTGACTGAACATTAACTATAATCAAAACAATGAAGAGCATATCGTGATTCTTTTTCTTTTGAATTCGATTAAAATAAATAAAAACACTCAACAATTGCGTTTTAATGATCACAAGTACAGATTAGAATAATAAAAATTGATTAAATTTGATTTTTTCTAGCTATTACAAAACATTCAATAAGGCCAGACCAAAATTGTAATCTCAGGAATCTTACACAATATCATACTGTATGATTTTTGGAAGATATGACTATAAGACTATAGAGAATCCTATATGACGATACACTTTTCCAGAATCTCATTGTATGATTTAGCATAAAATTTCTGAGAATACGATTTTCATCTGATCTTACAAGAACCTACGTCTAATTTTTAGACTTGGGTATTTTATTAAGCCCCTCCCCCCCCCCCTCATAAAATGTCAGTTTTCGTTGGAATTGGCAAAGCTAAGATAAATACATGGGAAAATAGCCCGTCATCTGCTCTTTCATAAACGATAATTTGGTTTTCTCGTTACTTCATTTTTCCCAAAAAATTTTCAAGATTTTCGTCAACCCTTATTCGAAAAACCAGCTGTTTTTTGAAAAATCAAAAAATATTTTTCGTTTTTTCTCAGTTTCCGCTTTCTCAAAAGCGCATCCCAAATTTCTCGTTCCTGGTTCGTTCAATGCATTAATATTTTTTTTTGTTAAAAGACCGTCTCAAGGCGCAGGGTCATTTTTGTTAATTAAGCCTTTGTTTGGTCAATATACAGCCAGTTATATGATTTGGTTACCATTTTTTGACACTTTTTTCAGTAATTGAACTTGTGATCTCTTTTTTGCGCTTAAAAAGGGACTATTTCAAAAAAACGGCCTCATCATGCCCTGCATCTTGAGATGCTCTTTTCAACAANTCTAGTAAATTCGATTAATCTTCTGTTGAATTATATGATTCACTTCCGAAAATGTTCTCCTGATATTTATCCATGAGATATTCTTTGACAGATGCTCTCTGTGCAGAGTTGTAATCGATAATGATAAATTTCAAGTTTTTGAATGTTTTTTTTTTTTCAAAAAATTGATCATAGAAATGTCTTGTTTTTTTGCAAATCAAATCATTTTGTTTGATGTCAATGATTATTTCTATGAAGAAACATAAATTACAATTTAATGTATCATATATTTAATTCTGTTTCGTTTTATTTGTAGAGACAAAGTAAATCTATTTGGAGAAGCTGAGTATATACATATATAGTTGATTCATCATTAATCTTTATGTCTGATGAACACATTTAATTAGTGCGCAATGATATAGTCCTATGAAATTGCTTTTGTTCCTCGATAGATGCTAATGAAGAAAAAAATTATGAAAATAGATATGGAAAAAAAGCTTTCAGTGCTATTCTTACGGGATTAAAATATTAAAGACGACGGAACTTCTTTAAACATTATGTGAAATTCTATTATCTATATGACAGACATATCGACATTTCTGTCAGTAGGTTGAAAGAACGTCAGCTCATTTGTGACGATCTTTTACATAAGCTATGAAAGATCGGTTTAATTTTCTCGCCATATATATTTCAATATTCATTAATAGTCATCTTTCACAAAAACATTATAATAGTGAAAAAGGAACTTAATGTCATTTCTGTTGTGATTCAGAAGCAGATATAAGTGATCAAAAAGTTGATTTTACTATTTTCAGATAAAAAAATAGTGAAAAATGACTCATGCCGGTTCGATTTGACCAGTTGCAACTCTGGTATCATGAAATAATATGTTCACTCTATTCAGGTCAATTGTTTTATTTCTGAGCTGCAGGCAAGATGAATATATAGTCTGTAACTTTGAGTAAATAAAAAAAAAAAGTTACAAATAAGATTCTTTGATCTAACCTATAAAAGATGTTTTTAATTACTCTTGATATTATCACAGGATTCCTCTCTAATTAGAAGCAAATGAGTAAAACTCAAGGTGACATGATGAGCGTTCTTTCTTTGTATTAACTGAAAAGTCATTTAAGTAGTGTCAAATTCAATATAAATAGAGACAAATGATATGATTACAATGTGTTTTTTTAACACTATCTCAAATTAATGTAGTGGAATTCTTAGTAACTTACAAATCGATTTGAATGCTAATATTTTGTTGAAAAAACTATAATTAGAATATTTTCATCAAAAAAAAAAAACCTAAAAATCCCGAAAATTTATTCTAATAATTAATGTACAAAACTCAAACAAATTTTTCTTTTAAATAATAAATAAAAAACAATTGCAAAATTTCTCAAGATTAGAAGTAAAACATTTAATCCTTCTTTGCTTGTGATAACTATGAGAAGAATAAATATCTGATTTAATCTTCACGACTTAGCATACGGAGAAAGAAAGAAAGAAAAATAAATAAATAGCAATATTGTTTCAACATTAAGACAAATGCATCTATAATAAATCATTTTTTTTGTAAAATTGTTACTGAGGAAATATGAGTATTCAAGAAAAACACGATCACAAAAATTGTTGTCAAATATTTATGAACCGACAGCTTGAATCTACCATATGCACGCAAATAACCTCAGCTAAAATATAATTATCTGAAAAGTGCAAAGGTTTCCACTATTTCTAAGGTTATTCTGAAAGGATTTGTGCACTTGGAATAAACAGCAAATAAAAATAGCATAGCATGGTTAAAAAGAAACATAAAACCAACAGATCGATAGAACACAACGAACTGACAGATATGATAATTAGTATCTGGTTGAATAAACCAATAGAATTTACTATAACTAATTCATTCATTTTGCATCATCATCATAAAATAAGAAACAAAAAATAAACTCTAATCTATTGAAGATAACATATTCTTAATAAGTCGTCTTTTATTATTATAAAATCAATTATTTTTCAGAGATAAAAATTCTTTTAACAAGTATAAGATGACGCTAGACGACAATACAATATACATAGTGAATTCATTATTAAAGTATCTTTCAGTTATTATAGACATAATTTATACAAGAAAAAATTACAATTATTTGTCCCTTGAATTCAAGCGACATTACTAATAGAAATTCTTCATATTTTGCTTGACGTTTTCTATATTATTTGCAGAATGTATCGTACATTTTATAAAATCGACGTATAAATTAACTATTTAACATTATCAAATTCAGAAAAAAACTACACATATATATCAATAATCTTTATTGAAAATTTCATGGAATAGCTAATAACCATTGTTAATAATCATAAAGCCATCTCTGTTAGAAATGACAATTTCGTCAAAAAATTCTGTCTACTTCCAAAACAAAAATAGATTTATCGAACTTATTGTGCTTCCTTTACAATTCGTTTGTTCTATCATTTTATTGAAAAAGAAGTTTGGACTCCTAGGTCAAACTTTATTTTGTATTTATCTATTTTTTTTTCTGTTCTTATTTTCAAAAATTTCTCGGTTATTTCACATGTTAGGAAGCTTGACAAGGTTTCAAAATTGAAGAGAAAATTGTAATCCACGACTTAACAGAGTCAAAATTTTCATTTTCAATTAATTTTTTGAAAAAAAAAAAAGAATTATCAGAACTAAAATAAAACAATATTTTGAAATATTAAGCCCTGCCAAGCTATACTAACAAGTCTTGGCTACATTTTACAATGAATCCAAAATATATGTCATTAGGTTTTGAAGAGAAATCTTTGTCACATCTTCGGATACATAGGTCTTGAAATTTTCACCGAGATCAAATTGTTCTAGGACAAAAAAAGGTTTCTAATAATGAGATAGAGTTTAAATAATTAAGTTAAATATGATTCTATATCACACAAAAAAAACATGATAATAGAGAGAAAGAGAAAGAGACACAGACATGAAAATGAAAAAGCACTATAGTTAAAGTAGAAGAAAAAACAAGATCTTTTTTTTATTATAATTAACTTCTCCTGAATTTCGACTATTGTATAATTGTAAATGTTGCTTGAATATATCAAATTATCTATTTTTAATTTTAAAAAACTATATTTTCACACGCAAAAAAGCAACGTTAATATTTAATCAACAAATTTAGATGCATCTAATTCAATTAGACTTTAAAGTTTCTTTACATGTCAAAAAAATCTCAAATAATATCGATCTAAAAATATTAATTAAAGTAAAAACAAAATAGGTTTTCATAATAAACTTCTTAAATTTTTAATTCTTTCTTCAGTAATTATTTATGTTTCATATTTTCTGGGATTTTTTTTATAAAGATAAATATAGAAACTAATATTTTATGTCAATTATATGAAAATATACGTGATGGACTGACGCATTTTTTTTCACAGGATCGGACGAGTCAAGTTATTTTTTTTCTCTTTCTATGTAATTTTATTGCATCAAATTTTTTCATAATACAATATTTCGTTCTTAGTTTTTATGCACACAAAAAAAAAAAAATAAAAAATAAGAACAAGCCAACATATGCTTAAATGACGCAACTATTATAACACTTATCAACAAAGTAAAACCAGTAAAATAAATTCTTTTCTTTCACACAGTTACAAAAGACACAAGAAAGTAAAAACATCGATTACACTAAGCAAATATATAAAGTTGTTTACGAGCAAAAAGAAAAAAATATATATTTATTAACATTTAAATGAATGTCTTATTGTAATTATTGAGAGAACACAAACAATAATACAAAGAAGAAAAATATCCCATTTAATCATTTTCAGTTGTAGAATGAAAGTGTATGTCAAAACATGTCCTTTTTTGAAAGCCAATAACCTTCACCAATGGCCACCGACTCTGTCAGCAATAATCAATGAAAACATAGCTCTACGATGTGGCGGCAATATCTCACGCAAAGTTCTTCTTGTTTGACTCTTCGAACTCTGCATGTACACAGTACCAACCCTGATAGTATGATATATATAGTTGATGCTGCGTGTGATGAATATGTGTTTAATGTTATGGGTATGAATATAGCTTGCACAATCGAACGAGAACTTTGAGTAATATTACTATTCTGGTTGAGAACTGCTTCATCAT